TTATAAACATGTTCTCAGCAAAAAGAATCCAGAGTAAAAATGCTCATTCTGCGTTTTATTATTGGATAATTATTACCGATGCAATCAAAGTTGCCATGTGCAGATATTGCAAAAAGTGAGTATTTTAAGGACATTGGCATTTTACTTAAATAAAAAAACAACACATCACTGAATGTATTTAATGTTGAAAGTATGTTTTTGTGTCCAGTGTGTAACATTTAGGAGGATCTCTTGGCAGAAATGGAATATCATAGGTATGTTTTCATTAGTGTCTAATCACCTGGAAATAAAATCTACGCACTAACCCTTTTTAGTTGAAGTGACACATTTAGTGGCATCTAGCTGTGTAGTTGCAGATTGTAACTCCCTCACCTCACCCTCCTTTTGTGTACTCTGGTAGCCTTGAAATGCCAAAAAAACCCACCAATGCACAGTGTTTGGTTTGTCCGTTCTGGGCTACCGTGGAAACATGGCGGTTCTACTGAAGGCATGTGTCTTATTTTCATTGTTAGATTCCTATGAAAATGATATCCTCTTAAATTTTCCACACTAGACCTTTTTTAAGTAGCATTCAGTAGAGAAAATAAGTGATTGGAAATAATTGCTCATTCAGTTTGTTTTCCTTTTTTTAGGTTTCTGCTTTTTCATTAACTTTCATTTTTTTCCTGACCTGACCTAACATCAGGTAATGAATGAAGGAATCAGCGGTCGGTAAACAACCAATGACTCATTTTAAGTTTGTAGTCTGAAACTTTCAGGCAAGAACAACATTTCTGGCTCAGTGAGTGTAAAGATTTCAATCAAGCTCCCACTAAAGTTATAAAGATAGTATAGCCGCCCTCTTGGGAAACATGTTTTGGTACATGGATGTGGAAAATGTGGCTGAGTGACGTCTGTAATTGCTGAGGAGCGATCCTCCTCTATGCAAAAATGATGAGGCTGGATAAGGAGGACTCTATTTGTTCCGACGCTGTTCAAGTCAGGCTAATTAATTTCAGTCAGACGTGCTTTGCTGTCAACATCCGTCGACTTTAATAATGGATTTCATGTTATCAGATTCTGAGTGGTATTTGCATTCCCAAAGACAGCAGGGCCAAATTTGTTGATTTTTACCTTCCTATAACAGCAAGTAAATCTGCTGACGTCCAGTGTGCTGAAGGAAAATCATATCTTTTAGGTTGTTTGTTTTTAGGATTTTTATGTGAAATGATAATATTCCACCATCCGAGATTGTCATCTGCACCGTTGTCTTTTTCCATGATAATAAATCGGATTCGCAACACACACACACACAAGAAACGATTAATTTTTGATCGTGAGAGGGTTTCCTAGCACTTCCTGTACCTATCGCCTGCTGTGTGAGACTTCGGGAGAGTCCGGGACAGGAGGGAAATAGTTTATCACATTCTGAATATTTTAAGACCTAAAATAAAATATTTATACCCTAAATAATGAACTTGCAACATCCAGTCTCTTATGTAGGATTCTCCCAGCAGAGAATATACAATACAAGTCCCCCTTGATTATCTCACCTACAGGTCTTTGCCTTATTGTTTTTCGTCAGTAGCCGTGAGTAATGGACTCCCTCCTTAACATCCTCGTCTTCTGACTTTGAAATGGATCCCCAGGGGAATAATGCAAGCCACCGTAGTTAATTTCAGTCTGATATCTCCCAACTCTCGCCTTCATTGTTTTGCATAATGTCCATGAATAATGGACCTGCTTCAGTGCCTTGTCTTGGAGGTGTTGTCCCCAAAAGGACCCAATGGAAGCAGAAAATTCCATTTGAGGATTGCCGTGAGTGTTCATCTGCGCCAGACGTGAAACATGTAACACTTTGTGGTTTGGGGTGCGTCACCGTGTCTCCCTATTATCCTCCAAAGGTCACGCAGGGCCAGCCGTAATGATGGGGATCCTGGTGACAGATGTATTAGGAGGTCAGGTCTCGTCTGTCTGCTTTTGGAAAAGGTCAGAAAAATCAGAAAGTGAGTGACACTGTGTACGAAATCGTGATGTTAGGGGTGAGTTGAAAACACTCTAAACAATGTATCTCTTGTTGGGTCACCTTTACAAACTTTTGCTAAAGATGAAGATGTCCTCTGGAGAAAATCCTCCTATAATTGCACACTTTTCTCTTTTTTAAACCTAGATCAGCTCCTTGCCAAACAGGATCACTCCAAGACAGTCTCACATAATAGTCCCTAGAATGCCAATATATTCTTTTCCTTCATGTCATATCAGCGAAGGAATTGCAAATGGCTTCTCACTGTCTGACCTTATCATTGAAGTATCAGTGCGCCTTGTTTACATTCTATAGAGGATTTCCAGCTGATGCACTGACCTTCTGCCGGCCATGTTGGACGTCCTCAGCTTCTGAGGGGAAGCTGTGAATAGCTTGAAATGTTTTCAACTGTCTGACTCGAGGGTATTCAAATAGATCGTCGACGTACTTATATGTATACATTAATTTATTTATTTTGTAGCAGACAAACAGGGTTGGGAGTTCATTGAAACTGAATATGAACTTGTCGATTGCACCATTCTGTCTTTTAACTCACATTTATTTAATGCTTTTGGCCGCATTCGCCTCGGTTTTTCTTAGCTATCTCCACCTCCAACTAAAGCACTCTGAACTGTTTCCTTTCTTTTACTGGATGTACACGAGAGCATCTTATCCCATCTCATCTTTTTATTTCTCCTACTGAGTCAATCATAAAACTAGTCCTAAAGGTTGTAACACTATAATTTTAAGAATAATAACCTAATTTTGTTATGTGGAGTAGCCGTAAATGTGTAGTCAAGATCACTACGATATCATTAATTCATTCATTCATTCATTCATTCATTCAGTCATTAAAAAAAACATCATCATTTTCTTTATCAGATTAGTTAGTTAGCTTGTTAGTTTGCTGGTATTTTCTTGTGCCGCTTGTCCCATTTCTTGTGCCACTGTAACTAATTGTGACAAAGTTGTCACATCAGTCTATTCCTTTTACTCAGTGATAGGGAGTTTTGGGAGAAATCCAGGTGCAGGCTCTCAAGTCAGTCTCTCAATAAGTGAAAAAGCTATCTCTGTTTTACACAGTGATTCTCTAGATCAGTCTGTTTCACTGCAGAGGAGACTGGGGGGGAGGATTGTTTTTGGTATTGTGTGTCCTTTTAATAAGGGAGTGTACTTTGTTAGTAGCTGTTCTCTTCGCCGTTCGAGCAACTGCTTTGCATTTATAAATCCCCAGACGATCGGTTGGCGCTGAGATCTCTGATTGTCTGTCTGGTATTGCGAGACTGCTACATTCAGCATTACACTCCCAACACAGTCAGACACTCACTTTAACAGCCAAACCAAGTCTGTAGGAGGGGAGTGAATGAGGGTCCCCTCCCCAAAATGGCACAGTCCTATCTAGACCTGAAGTCTGGGTCAGGGTAGAAAGTACAAACTCTGATGTTAAATGATTACAGGCTTCCTAAAGCGACAGAGTGATAAACAAGGTTGTGGAGACCGTGTAGCTCACTGCAACAACACTTTCTGTTTGTCAAGATTGTCTCGAGGTCACAGATGGACTGACTTCAGAGTAAGCTACAAGTTGAAATTATTTTTTTACTTGGTGTTGGTTTGAAGTGGTGTCAAATACAGGGTCATTAAATTGTTTCCACCCCAATCAGATCTAAATAGAATTGTAATTAATCTTTTGTAGTATTTAAAATAAAAGTGAATTCCCTATTTGTAACATTACAGGATGGATATACACCCGCTTTTGACAATATTTCTAACCAGGTTTTTATACACGAACAGGTATCACAGCCGGTTATGCAGGCCAACAGGGGATAGGACCCAAATGCAGACGGAGGAAGCAGCAGCCTTCAGTGATTTTATAGGCGATGTAGCTTACAGGCAGCTACACACAAAGGCAGACTAGAGGTGCTGAAGTTCAACACAAACTGGTGTTCAGGAAGAAAATGGCAGTGGTTTCAGGAAGTGGGGATGTGGCTGGAGGGAGGGACAGAGCGGCAGAGCGAAGACAGTAGTCATTATTTGTGCACATCTATAGTCAAGACTTGAGGGGCAACCGCAACCAATCAGAAAATTTCATGTTACTAATACCACAACAGCAGGGTGCTATTTGGAGTATAGTAAGATCTGGGCGAGTGAAGACAGCTATGTAGACGGCTGTCAGCATTTCTTTTAAATTTGGACAGATGTTGGTTCTGCTGTTAATTAAAGACTCAAAGATCAATGAATGACACTCTTTGTCAGCTATATTTTGCCATGTTATATTTAGCTATTATAAGTTCTCTGGAGAAATGCGTGGTCGATTTTTAACAATTGTGCCACGGCTTCAAAGTCTCTGAGATGGGTGGTTACATTAATAACTTGCTATTCTTGCTTCAGCATAACCAGATAAACCTCCAAGCAAACAAAGCTTCCTCTCCATAGCATTTAAAAAAGCTTTTATTTTCCAGGCAATGTCTTATTGCTTTATTCACCATCTACAAAGGTTGGTGGATTACGAAAATGTACTCAACATTGACTATGTGGGGAAATAAAGTGTATTCAGATCCACTTTTGCAGAGATTTAACATATTGTGTAACGAGAATAAAGCAAAACCACCCCAACTAGACAAATACTTTGACTTATTTTACCTGCTAATAAGTAAGGAACTTGATTCAGAAAAGAACTTCTCACAATTAGAAGAGAGGTCATTGCTGAGGTGAAAAAAAGCATGCTGAAGTAAACAGTTTGCGAGATGGTGTAATTTAATTTCCATATCAAAAGCATAATGCGTATTTGAGCGTTTCCACTGAGTGCTGCACTGCTTGAGTATTTTCTTTGATGTGGACACGTTTGTGCTCAAACAAACACATTATCAGCTCCTCCAGAAGGACCAGACAGAGACTGCTCAGCACATAAACACTTTATCCAGAACATCTCTTTCTGTCTCCATACTGCTTTAAAAAGGGTTGTCAGATCAGTGTATTGACTCTACTTTTCTCTCCCCAGGAGTACCAGATCGATATTATCTTCGCCCAGACCTGGGTGGACACCCGTCTGCGGTACAACAGCAGCAGCAGCATGCCAACTCTAACGCTCAACAGGTATACCAGATTTTAAAAAGCTGTTGCATCGATACCTATATATGAATAATTGCAGCAAGTTATATTTAACTATGTTTTTTTTAAATTAGCTCTAACTCCAAGACACTGTGATTCTCCGTCTTTCCACTGTAGCAACTATTGTGTTTGAACATTTTCATACTGTGAATATCTCATTTGAGAACAATATTCTACTCTCTCTCGGGAAGAGGCCTGTAATTAATGGAACAAATTGATTGATGTGCTTTGTTTTCCCCATGTCGCCCGGTTGTTTTATTATCCTCTTATTGGGAAGTGGAGCTGCTTCATGCATTGAAGAGAAATCTGAAGGAATTCAACTGCAATCATTTCCTACCTCCCGCACCCTCCCAACTCTCTCTGTCTCTGTCTCTTATTCAACCAGCAATATGGTCGGCTTGATCTGGCTGCCCGACACCATCTTCAGGAATTCCAAGAATGCCGACTCTCACTGGATAACGACGCCCAATCAGCTGCTCCGGATCAGGAACAATGGAACAATACTTTACACGCTGAGGTAAAAGACTCCAGAACACGTGAAAACACACAGGACTGTATGGTAAAAGAAACTCTGAAGAGCTCCAACAAAGAAGCATACACAGCGAATCAATGCCAGGTAGCTCTAATGGCAGCCAAACTATGTATTTGCAGTCGGAAAAATCACTTTCAACGGACATAATTGGCTGTTACTCCTCAATGCCAACTGTTGCTAGTGATTCAACACACATTCACTGAAATGAAGCGATGATGTAATCGGAGACAAATACAGACACTCGAGACTTATAAAGACATCAAACAGTACCGATGGGGCACCCAAGATTTTGAACAATTTGAAGCATTTCACTTTCTACCTTTTATTGAAGGCATAGTATCCACATTTCGAAAAAAGGAATCCTGAGTGGCGCAAGCAGCAACGCAGGAAATACCCTTAATATTAGCGATGATTGGTGCATTTCACAGATTAATTCAAGCTGCAGTCAGTTTAAATTTATGTCAGTTACATTGGTTCCCAATAATGACTAGTTCACACTCATTGATATATTGTTGCACAAATCAAAGCTTCCATCAATCGGTGTGTCAATGCACCGTCCCATAAAGCTTGTTAGTAGGTGCAAAAGCTGGTTTGTCCTTTTTTAAATCCTTATAGCTCAAAATTGTACGTGTCGGCTTGGACTTGAAAGCAGTTCTGAATTCTTTCGCCCATCCCTGTCTGTAATTCAATGGGCAAGACTCCCAAACTGTAGTATAGCAGCTGCCATCCAAATTATTTCTTAACCCAAATCATGATTGTTCCCTAATCATCAAGAAGTATTTGGGGGTTTGGTGCCATCTCAACTATCGCGGACGATCAGAAAACCGTTACGTGAATACCTTTTTTTTAGCATGTACCAGATTAGAAAATGCTTATACGGGGGATTTATTTATTTATTTTTGAAGGGCATTTTATACTGTAGACAGGAAATGAGCGGTATGACGAATAACAAAGGGTCCCAGCTGGAACCAAACCAGGGACACTGCAGTTAGGTGGAATACATCTATACTCAGCCACCTGTGCATACTCTTCAATATGACTCGTGTCTTGGTGGCTTATTTTAGCTTCTACTTTTTTCAGTTTCTTTTACATCAATTTAATTGTGCATGTCATTTCCAATACGGAAATTTCAATGTTGGCTGCTAAACCTTGCTTCACATCTAGCACACAGAGGGATAGAAACTTCCCTTACAACATGTCGTGTGTGTGTGTGTCTGTGTTATTTTGCTCTGCTCTGACACACTGGGGGAGTGTGTGTGTGTGGCCTTATGGACAATATAACCATCCCTGTGTCTGTGTCTAAAAAAAACCCACTCAGGATTCGAGTGGACAGGTTCTCTTTAAATTTGAGTGGCATGTGAGTTTATGAACCCCCGAGCTCTGACATGAGATTTTTCTGTCTTGAGGATCCAATTTCACCTGCGTCTCCAGGATTTCAAACTAGACCTTGGTTCGAATAGCAAATACCACCGTGAGTTGTTTGTTTTTCAACCCCTTGGGGGATGAGATACACGGCTCCCTGAAGCACCAGGCTAGTTCAGACGCTGTCATGAAGAGTCGAATCGATCCAATACAGGCGTGCCAAAATGAAAAGACTTTAGCGTTCATTGTGTCTATCTTGACGGGCAAGTTTCAGTTAGTGATGCAAACAACAACGTGTGTGTGTGTGTGTGTGTGTGTGTGTGTGTGTGTGTGTGTGTGTGTGTGTGTGTGTGTGTGTGTGTGTGTGTGTGTGTGTGTGTGTGTGTGTGTGTGTGTGTGTGTGTGTGTGTGTGTGTGTGTGTGTGTGTGTGTGTGTGTGTGTCAAAAAGAGCGAAGTGGCTCTTCAGTCAGAGGGCTTCTAGAAATTCCTCTCCACAACCAAAAACTTTTTTTAAATAGCTAATTTCACTGCTAATGCACGTCTCGGTGATGAATCTGAAAATTATTGTTTCATTAAAAGGATATTAAGCCTTAAAGAGGCGTATGTTTGGGGGCGTACTTGTATTGACTGATGCGTCTCTCCGCAGCGTTTCGCCACTCGCTCGCCTTACCTCAGCCCTTGTCCAAATTGAATCTTCCTGACGTGGATTGGCAAATGGTGCTTGTGTGCGAAGGGGAGTGGGGGGGGGGGGCAGCACATCATCTGCACTTTGTTCACCTACAAACAAGATGAGTGAGGTGGCCCCTCTTTCTGCTCTGAATGAGGCTCCTCTTTTGTGCTCTGAGTAAGTGAATTAATAAGAAGCTGTAGCGGGGGGACAAAGACACAACAGCACAGAACAAGAGGAAAAAGCCCATTTTCACGAAGGTCTCATTTTTACCACCATTATCATATCCAGTGAAAATTAATTTCAGGATGATGAATTTAAGAAACACTCAGGGAATATTAACTGAGTGTGATACGGTTTCATAATTTGCTTGTAGAACTAATCCCCTGCATCTTTGTGATCGCCATAGCTTTCCCAAAACATCTGGTGTATTGACTTGTCCAGTGATCATCATAGCTAAATACTCCTGTTTTTAGAAGCGCACATTGCCTCTGGGCCCTGACCTATAAGTTAATGCCGTCTCCGTGGTAAAAAACACGTCCGACGCCGATGATGGAACAGTTCTGTCATTTTGAGGGATTTCACACATCAACCAAGCAACCGAGTGTGATCCGGCACCATCTGGTTTGAAGCCAGCGCTTCATATACTGTAGCGCAAAAAGTGCATTATGTGATATAAGCTGTGATGAATACCGTGCATTCACGCCATGTGCTTCATGGGCCGAGAAATGAAGGATTCCGAGTGTTTATAGTGCCTTGAATGTCTTTGTCTAAGTATTTCTTTCTCTCTCTCTCTCTGTGCGTCTCTCCCCCTTTCCAGGATGACCATCAACGCAGAATGCCAGCTGCAACTGCATAATTTCCCAATGGACGAACACTCCTGTCCTCTCGTCTTCTCCAGCTGTGAATATTGGCAATAGCACACACACACACACACACACACACACACACACACACACACACACACACACACACACACACGCAAATGCACACAAATAGAGAAATATGCTCATATTCATGCATAGTGATGCGTATACATGAAACACCTGCTCAGGTAAAACTTATAAAGCAGGCTGCATGAATACAAAAAAATGGGTCCGAATGTGAAGGACAAAATGAACATTAGTGACGGAAAGAAAAAAGACAAAAAAATAGGTGAAAGCACAATTCTAATGCCAAAAAAAGTACAGAAACCAAACTGTGCCACCTCGACACAACCTGAGCCCTAAAATGTTTGTATCCTCTTTGAGGGGGCCCTCAATTTAGGTGTCCCAGTTTGAGCGTGAATCATTGATTTGGGGATTGAACTGCACATACAGGGAGATATTTACTCAGCCTGTCGCAAATTATTGTCAAGAGTACAAACTTTTGTGTCACCACAACTTTTTAATTTAGCAGGGTATTAACTCCAGTAAATCACCCCAGCTGCCGCTATATGAGACCTGATGTCGGCGCTTTGAATATTAGTTCAAGAGAAGACGTTTTTTAGGACTGGAAGTGCGTATTCATCTTGCAAGAGGAAGAAAAATTACAAGTTGTGAGTTCAACAAAAAGATCAGTGATTATGATAAATCAGTGCGATTTTTTTTGGCAAAAACTTTTAAAACTCCTTTGACTAGATTATTTCTGTAAACAGATCATACTTAACAACCATTAGTTGCTTCTTCTGTTACATTGCACTGGACGGGAGCTGCTGTGAGCAACTTAAAGTCAGGGAATAACAGGCAGGAGGGACCTGCGGGAAATGGGAAAATTGGTATTAAAAGATTTTGATCTCTTTTTTTTTCACTATTTACATTCAAACAAGAACTCTTATTAAATAGGCTGACAATGAAAGTTGAAATGTTTTATTTATAATTTTCTTAAATGATACATTTAATAAAATCTTAAGTTGAAGTTCAATTAGAAATAATTCATCAGTAGGGCTTTTCTGGGAATTTCTCTTTCGTCAACATTTTCCATGGCAGAAGGAAAAGAGGAGTGCAGATTATGGTTCTGCCTCCCACTGGCTCATCAGACACAGATAAGGGATCAGATGAGGAAGATGGAGAGGATGAACTTAATGCATTGGGCCACATTGAGGGCCACAGTATCAGCCTCTCTGCTGGCGCTAATGATGAGGCTTAGCTCAAAGTGCGTCCATGAATCATAGCCACACGTTGTAATGGTTTGTAGTTAAGTGAGAAAAAATGTATTTTTATAGCACCTTTCTAGATCAGACGTCACCAAGTGCTTCACTTAAGTCCAACGGGAGCCATAACTTCATTGCCTGGAAACAAACCAACAAACCCTGAACAGAAGACCTCAGAGACCTCATGGTGACGTGGGACTACAGTTTTAATGTGTGGGGCAATTTTGTCATACTTTAACAGTTTAACTATTCTTTCTTAATAAATGTTTACATGAAGAGACAATGTTATGTCTTAAATCTGCTTTTAGAAAAAGGAGTTTCACTTCTTCAAATCAACAGTATACCTGGAATTGGCAACATATATCAGGAGACTCGCATTGTAAATAAAATGGATAATTGAAGCACAAACTACTTAATTTTAAGAACTTTTTTTTTTTTTTTGTTCTTGCACATTAAAACGCTCGAGAGCCAGAAGAAAATGACATGATGGCTGCATTAGCTCTGCCAACGGCTTTATACTGGCATGAAATTAGAGTCCTCAAAGGGTTTATTGTTCCATTAACCAGCGCCTTATTAAGTTACCCGCCACCTAAAAAGCACCGAAATCACATTTGATTTTGTATGACAGGTCATTCTGCTGCACCGGACGTCTTCCAGCGCCTAGATGTGATTTAATTTAGGTAATAATCATTACCTCATGCGACTACAGATGGCAGTATTTGTGACCAGGCCATTATTAAACCTACTCTCGGCTTTGAGTTCGGACAATCAATTGACTGTTTTTGAGCATATGTACAATTTGTTCATAGAGTGACGAGAGTGGCTGTCGCAGTACTGTACATAGTGAAAAAGCTATTGGTCGCAAATGGGTTTCCATTATGTCTCTGCTGTCAGTGAAAGGATTTGCAGTAATAACCCTTTTTCTCCCTCAGTCTAAGTTCATCGCCATATGAATAGACTTCTTTTTTCTTTTCTGTCTGTAGCTGCAACAGATCAGCAGCTAAAGTCCTCAGTGACACTAAATTAAAGCCTCAAAGTTTTCTGTTTGCTTTAGCTGAATGTCGCCATTGCCCCCAAACATGTCAATAGCTAATTGCTCAAACATGTTTTGATAAAAATCGCCGCATAATTTCATGGTTTATGTTTTAAATTTGGCCTCTTGGCAATAGCTCAGATAGCTGTTTTTTCACTCTAAAAAGACTTTGGAATACATTTTATAGTTCACATACTAAATCCTCCCCATTTAAAACGTAAATCTGTGCTTTATTCAAGATTTTCTGATCAGAGCGAGATCCCTTGATAATTACGGAACAATGGAGATTACATTTGGAGATCTTACTAAAAGCCAGTTAAAAAAGAATTACCTTTCAGTGCGGAACAGATGCTTCCATGATAAAAATAACAAAAAGCTTTCATGGCAGCTGGTCTGCGTCTGTTTTTTTTTTTTTAAAACGTCCAGAGCTTTTTATGTTGTGTATGTGAACACGTCTTATCTTCGGTGGCAGCAGCACAGACAACCGGGTCTGCGCGTATGAGTCAACTGTTTTGGAAAATGTAAAGCTGCTCTTCAGATTTCTACATGACTCTGACAAGCTTATTCACCCACTTAGAAGTTCTAAAGAAACCCTGTGCGGTCAATCTTCATATTACGACACGAGATGCCAAAGGAGAGCACATTAACTAACTGAGCAGCATGTGTTTCTCTCAGGTCATCTCCGTCTGTTTTCCATAAACAAACATGTTAGTCTTTCTCAGTCACTGCACATCAAGACATCTGATGATGAAGCCAAATTTTCTCCACTGTCCAAACACATAACCCATTCTTACACACCATCAACCTCTCTTACCACTCAAGGCGCGCGGCACTTAATGTATTATGATACTGTAGCAGCCTTTTTAAAATGTTCTGTCTCTTCAGCATGAAGCAAATTACAATCTTCCCCATTATGGCTGCAATCAATTTCATTTATTGAGATGGAGCATTATAAAACACGATGAATGCGATTCTGAGTATCTTTTGATGGCAGATGTATTTCTGACAGACATTGTGCGAACAATCTGACACCTTGCAAACATGTTTTGAATTCATATCTTGGTTCTTGTGACAAAGAAGCTTTTAAGCTACTGTATCTTTCTTTTTAGTTTATTCGCTGTATAATAGCTTGTGTGAGGTGGGGGGGCAGGAGTAGAAAAGACATACTGGAAAGCCTTAAGAATGATTACAAGCACTTTGGACTGCAGTTATTCACATCATAATCACAGCCGCAATCACTTCCTAAATAACACCCTTTGTGATTCTATATTGGTAGGATATTCACATCTTTACTGCACATAACATTATATATGAGCTGTGGCCTTTGTGTCAGAAAAGGCTGGCCAAGACTGAAGCCCAGTAGGTCATTTGCTTTGTGAAAAAAATGGCTAAATATGTGACATTTTAAATATATTTCCCCTTGGTTCTTGTCAATCAGCTGCCAGCTACAGGAGGGGGAAAAAACATTGAAGTCTCCATCACTATATCATTTGTGAGAACTTACAAACTCCATGTTTTAGCCAGGTTTTGTTCACTGTGCATATACAGACTGCTGAATCTACACCATATGTTAAAATGAGAATAAGAAGCTCTGTGAGGCAGTTCTTTGAGCTAAATGCTAGTTCATCTTAGTGTGTCAAATTTTGTCCCAAAATGACTTTCTTGCTCAATTTTTAACTTTAAACACCCCTTTTGCGCCAGTATTACCAATATTTCTCAGTGAATGTGCTCTCATGGATACGGCTCCCTGGTTTGACACAACCTAGCAACACCTAATGACTTTCCACTGAAAATAGTTGGCAACACTAAGCACTAGATGAAAAGTAAGGGGATCACCAAAGATTCTGAAATATATCCCAAAGGGGACATGAATGTCTGAACCAGATTTCAATCCAATATTTAATCAGACATTTCACTCAAAATCACAAATGTCAACCTCATCCTGGCGCTAGAGGAAAAGTCAGGGGATCACCGAAGTCGGTAGGATTTATCCTTTTTGGGATCATGAATGTCTGTATAAAAATTCACCTCAATTCATCCAGAAGTTGTAAAGATTTCTCAGTCTGACCGACTGACAGACCAAAACTGCCTTCCAATACCACTAGTGTGACAAAAAACTTAAAATGCAAACAATATATATATAAATGCAAGATTATTTTACATGATATATGGGCTAAAACCAGTCAGATATGTTGAAAAGACTTTCATTTTAGCAGATCTGATACTATTATTGAAACCCAAAATGACTCGGTTACACCAGTAGCAAAATGATGTCTTCCCAGTAAAGAATCAGGCCATTCATACATTTAAAGATGTAATCAGCAGTCCTCGGTCACTCCCGCCCAAAAAAAGCCTGAGCACCTCCATCATGACTGCCACAGGGCTTATTACATTATTTGAAACCCCACCGCAGGGGGTCTTGAACGGTCAATCATAAAACCAAGTTGTCACTCTGATTTTATGTTCCTCACAAGTTTCTTGTTTTCATTTTTGAAGACCTCATCTAAAAATGGACTTGTTTTAAAGTTTTTGGGTGTTCGTGAACAAGAACGAGGAAAATAATGATGAATTCTTACGGTTCAAACATATTCCCATAGCAGCTGATGTGTGAAATAAACTGGAACTGACCTTGCGTACAGGTATGGCTGTTGAAAAGAGCCGCTGCTCTGCAATAGGTGGAAGAAGAAAAAGAAATGTGCTTAGAGTCAGCTGTTTTCTTTCCTCTCACTTTATGATAAGGTATCTTTAGTAAGCACGCTGTACAGTATTTCAGACAAGAAGAATAACTGCAATTTTAAACATGCAGTCCTCTTACACCCACATGCATACATACTGTAGATAACAGAGTAGATACATTCAGGACAATGAAATGAGCTTCAGAGGGTTTGGATTTTGAAATCAGTATACGCTTGTTGTTTAGACTTTTTTACTTATTTGGTCAAAAATGTAACTACCAAAAAGAGTAAATTAAGGTTTAATTCATTTTTTTTTTTTTTTGCTGTTATATACGCCCCTACATTTTAGTGCCTGGGGCTGTGATTTTTTTTTTTTTTTTTTTATCAGTACTGTAATTTGAGTACTGTGCTTTGTTAACAAACACTAAAAATAGTTTGCATCACTTCAATTCATTGTAGTTAAAGGTCCAGTATGTAACATTCAAGAGGCAGAAATGGAATATAATATTCATAGGTAAGTTTTCATTAGTGTATAGTCACCTGAGAATAAGAACTGGTGTGTTTTCCTTACCTTAGAATAAGCCGTTTTAATCTACAGACACTGTGGGTCGCCTTCCGTGTATGCCGCCATGTTGAGCTGCCATGTATGCAGTAGCCCAGAAGGGACAAAGCAAACACTAGCTCCAGAATGGCAGGTTTTTTTGCACATTTTGCGGCCACTGTAGTTTCTCCTCCGTGCTTGAAAAGGAGGGTGACAGGTGGGAGTTGCAATTTGCAACAACACCACTAGATGTCACTAAATCCTACACACTGGATCTTTAAGAAGTTTGCTGGGGGCCGACGTTGTTCGCCAGCGTATCCTGTGTTTTAAGCACTCCAGACATTTAATTTACAGGACTACCTGTTGCTGAGCTGGACCCACAAGGGACCGCTAACACTAGCTATACACCACACTGCCAACTCCTTACTAGGTGTTGAACATGAACAACAACAGGGTTAAAAACGTCTCGTATCAATGAGCATAATATGAAAAATATGCCCAATAGCTGCAGTATCATTATAGTTTATATCACAGAAATAGCGAGGCGAACTCAAATTTCAAAATCCCTCTTGTCTCTGCTCCCATGATATTGATTTTACTGGCAGATTTCCTCACGTATATCTGACTCTGCTTACAGTAATACGGCAGAAGCGGACATCCCACGTCTTCTTTGCTTGGAGGATAGACAGGAAGAATATTAGAGCCAAGGCCACAGAAGAGTGTAATTTATAACATGGTGCAAGAACATGTTGCTTCGGGGGCCTTTTAAAGGCATGAAATATGACGAGCATTTTGTAGCTATGAAGATACACTGGTAACACAATGGTAATACTCTTTGCAGTAAAGATAATTGTGCAAACACACCAAGAGAAATATGATGGCAATAATGTTTGCCATCTATTATTAGTGTTTGGAGAAAAAAAAAACACCTCTCTTGCTTCATGGTGATTGCTCTTCTTGGTTATAGATGGCTATCCTCTAAATGAGACTATTTACATAATTAGTCTGGTTCCCACTACAGGGCACAACAACACTCCCCACTCGCTCATTATTTCTGTCACTCATTTTTCGATGTGAAATTGCTTCAACTTGTCAAATGAGCTCAGCTCCTTTCTTTTTTTTTTTTAACATGGAGCCATTGTTATCAGTGTATTAGCTCTCATAGAAGTTCGACATCTTGCATGCTGTCTTGTACTTGTGTTACATTGCTTCACCCGGCAGGGGATCTGTATGTGAAATCCTACAGTTTCAAAGCTAACCATGTCCACAAAGTGGCTTGACTGACGTACTTTCACATGTCCCTGAAGTGTAATAATAGGTTTGTCACAGGAGTATATGGAAGGCACATGGCCTATAATCTCACACTAGAAAACATATCCATTTATATGAAAGAGTCAAGACATTTCATTATAATTTTTCTTTAAAGTGGACTTGCCTTTTCCCTCCCAAGATCAGTCTCTTGCAGTGAAGCAGACAGACCATTATCAATTTAATTTGATTCAAGAGCATCCTTGAGACCAGTTGCCTTGCACTTGTCGAAGGCGCTGACTGTTTTGAAACTAAATCACACATTGAATTACATGGGAGAGTGGATATTTGTTCATCATGGGTGCATTACGGCAGATTCAGAGCAAACAAGTTAACGGTAATTGCTCAGTTGGTCTGCAGTCCACTGAATTGCCAATGAAAACTTACTGTATAAATTTGTATAAATCATGCCCAAATCAGGTATAAATCATGCATACAGTAAAAACTGCATTGCTGCATTAATCCTTCCTGTATTCTTCGCCTTCAACTTTTATCTGTGTCGTTTCTCTCTTCCTTTCACGCTCACTCTCTGTGTGGTTTCTAGACGGCTACCCACGGGATGAGATCATGTACAAGTGGGCGCGGAACTCGGTGGCGACTTCGGACCAGAAGTACTGGAGGCTTTACCAGTTTGATTTCATGGGGCTCAGGAACACCACGGATGTGCTCTCGACCACAGCGGGTAAGAAAGACGCAGAGTAAAGGTCAAGATTACTGTCAGTTGTGGCACAAAATTCATGCTGAACGGTTGCATTTCATGGCGTTATGACTGATGATTTTTCACCTCCGTGCAACCCTCAGAGGTTAAAGGTCGGTATCGGCTACAGGCTAGCAGCTGGAACTAGCAGGAGTCTTTCCGTCTGTTCAGCAGGGTTCAAAATAAAACTCAGCCCAACTGCCTCTGTGCCCCAAGCTTTGCACAGGTTAACATTAGCACCATGACCATAAATGTAATCGTATAACTACAAGCTCATAAGTATTCCCCTCGGGTGTAAGGGCAAATAGGTTTCTCCACTGACATTAATCACCACGATTAAAGATTAAAAAGGAAGTTTAATTATTCACTTCTTTTCCTTCTCTCTTCCCATACTTTGTGCAGTATAGTTATTAGGCCTTGTCTCCTCTGATGATTTAATTTAAATTTGTTGTTCGGGGAGGCAGCTGGAGAAATATTGTTGCTCCAACAGGTGCCAGTAATTACACTCACAACCGGAACGGGGTGGACAAGTTCCTAATACATTTTTAATGCCTCCACGTGACCCTTGAAGATAAAGACAGATTTTAATGGCCTAATACGCAAAACATTATGAACGAGGGAGATGGAGAAAGAGCGTGACGCAGTGATTGTTAACCCCTCTTAACCTTGTTTATGAGTTGCATATTTTGTGCCACACAAGTCCTTTGTCTTTGCAGAGGCGTGCACGAGTCTGCATAATGTGACCTCATTCAGCTTTCTAAGAGCTGAACCTCCGTTCATGAATATTCGAGGAACAAGAGCACTTGGCATGATTAGGAGAGGGATAACAGGGAGTGGCATCAAATTATTAAGGAGCTCAGTGCAAATCAGTTGAACAGATTCATTTTGCAAAAACGTTTAAGCGTGGCAGTCTCTGTCCCAATACTCAAACATGACGCAGCTAAATCAAATATAGACCTCTTTTAAACTGGAGAGAAATAATGTCGTCTGTTCCATCACCCATCGGGAATACTGATCAAGCATCCTGTTTATAGCTAATGAGAAGCTGCCATTGTATCTTTGTTTCTGATAACACACACACACACACACAAAAAAAGGTGACTGATGAGCGCTCTCATCCCGAGACACGTTGATGGCCTTATAAATTATATGTTTTCCTGGACTCCCGCTGCAGCATCAAAAAAACGCAGCCAAACTAATTTTCTGCTGAGATGCTCAAAAGCAACCGCAAACCTACACATCTACCTCATGCTGTTCAAGAAAATTAGCCGTTTTCTCATTTATTACCTCGTTTCTTTTTCCTGTTTCACTTGCCGGAGCTCCATCTCCACACGCATGATGATTAGATCCCCGGCTAAAAATACCTATCATTAATTTACATCATGACAAACTTCGAAAGTGCTGCGTTTCTCTTCCTCTCTCGCTCTCTCTGTCTTCCCTCTCTCCGCTTTATCCTTCATCCCTCATAAACACATGAGGCATGGGGCTGTTTTAATGAGGACAGAGTGGACAGATCCCCGGCCACAGCGCCACTGGGGACCACCGCCGCAAATCCACCGTCGTTATCAATTCAGCGGCGTCCTCTTCAAAAGGCCCCAGTGCGGAATCCCAAACGCTTCGGCACTTTGTTCTACCATCCCTTCACAAATTCCCTAAAAAAGCTTCTATTATGCCTTTTTCTGCGGGTTGCATTGCAGAAATGCTGATGTTCTTCCTTCCGCACACGTCCACCCTGGACTTTTTTTTTCAAATGCCTTCCTGTAAAGAATGTGTAGTGAAATTGCTGACAATCCCATGCTTTGTCCTTTGATTGCATCACGGATCACAATACTGAAACTCCCCTTGATGTTGCTTCTTTATTTGATGTATGAAAGCCTTCATACCTTTTTTTGGCTGCGCTCACTAACCTGCAGCAGATCATATAAAATCACAGCTGGAAATCATGAAACTATGATGAAAGTGTCACTGCATGAGGAAGAGACATGACCATGCATGCAGACTTTAAAAAAGAAAATGATTGAGTGTGCACTTAACACCTCCTCTGAACACTGATTGTCCAATCTATGTTTATAGCAGTCATAATTAGACACAGCAGGCTTGGGTTTGTCTTGTTTAAAGCCTTTCCAAAACCAGAAACACTGAAGGAATGTTTATCTGCTCGATGCAACCATTAACATGTTGCGCTAACTAGCTTTCTACCTATAGTAACCCTTGACAGTATATGATTAGTGTAGAAAGCTTCTGAGTCTGTGAAGTGAAGCCAGCGAGGAAGTGTCTAAAAACCTGCAGTTTTTCTAATGACCAGCAGGGGGCAGCTGCATGGGCTGCAAAAAAGGAGTCTGATAGAAATGAGTCTTATGGGAAAATTATGCTACTTCTCACTTGATTTATTAGTTCAGTAAACAGTTTCCTGATAAGTTTATGGGCTCAGTCGCTAATTTCTAGTCTTCTTCCATACAGCATGCTGTTCATTTAGTACATTATGGTCCCGTTTTGAGGCTATCCAGCGCACGGCACAAAACTGAGATCAAACTGTCAAACTAGGCAATCAAATATGAATCAAGATTCTGTTACTGAATTGCCCATTTCACGCCTCAAATCTTTTCAGAAGCATATTTCAGTGTACTGTGACTGAGAAGCTGCCACTGTTTTCTGCTATAATTCTGTCAACTGCAGAAATCTCACTGTGGTCAGGGTCAGCCGCCCCTTTGATTTTGATGTTACCGTACCATCTTGTTGAATGTGATGTCCTATTTAAAAAGAAAAATAAATAAATAAAAAAATCATAATAATAATAATTATGCATAATGGGTAATTAAAAGGAATGACAGCTCAAATACCATTTATAATTTCCCTATTTGAGCTGTCATAAATAAGGTTTACTTACATTGACAATGGAGTCCTGTTCACTATAGCCATGTGGAATTTTTAGTTATTTTACTGTTTAGGTTTTGATAAAATTGTGAATGGTATAAAGTAATTTGAGCTGACTTTCCCTCACTTGACCACAGTAAGATTTCTTTAAAATGCCAGGCCTTGTTTAGTCTAAAGGATAAAGCAACACTGGCACACTAGCAATCCTACATTTGGCGCTATGGTTTTGTAAATGACCCCAGCCGGTCGCAGAATATGAAAAAAAATATATATATATATTGTTTTTTATTACCCATTTCTGAAAAGAAAATTAAATGATCAAAAGGAACTGACCACGAGAGAATTTGTTTTTGTTGGAGAAAACAAAAGTCAGTACATGAAGCTTGGGTTGGAAAATTTAAAGGCAAAAATGAAGCATTTAAAAAAAAACTAAAACATGACATTTCGATCATGACACTTTCACAAGGTAACAAATCTTCAGTGAAAGTTTGAATTTCGTGTGGAAAAGTGTGGAAAGATTTCAAAACTTAGTTGAGAAAAGAAAAGGCCATCACTGCAATTGTTTGTCAGTTTAGTGAAGAATCCACAATAACATTTCAGCTGAGTTGTCTTGTGCTCAGTAATAAAAAATGTTTTCCTCACAGCTTCCAAACAGAGCAGACCTGACTGCATGGCATGACAGAGTCTGTAGACAAGTGTAGAGCGGGTGACTCGGGCTAATAAGTATTCTGCAGGAGTGTGTAAACAGAGGGCTTTTTACTGTCCTAACAGAATGTAAACAGAGGGGTTGTTTGCTACAATGCACAGAAGTCACCACACTGCCGTGGGTACGCACACGGCTGTAGATAGTCCATCTGGGAATGTACATTATTGCTGCCTCCACACAGTCATTAATGCAAGCTAAACGGTATAATCCTGCAACATTTGCAAGAATAACTTTGCAAAATGACGCATATCTTCCGAGCATTAAACTGTCAAATTAGACATTCTGTCTGCAGAAGAGTGTCTATCTTGGGTTGCTTCTACGACTGTGCACTGCTGTACTCAAAGTGAGGAAGCGAAGAATAATTCAAGCTGCAATGTTGTTTTATTGACCCCTATTGGTATATAAAATTGAGTTGTTTTTTTTTGTTTATTTAACCAGAAACGCTTTGGATTGCTTTAAGAGAACACTTTATCTCGGACATAAACGGGCGCATAAAATAAAACTAGACAGTTTTTTATTTTGATGAAATGGCAAAATACTCAGATTTTATGTGCCTTCTGTGTTGTGATTAATATTTCCTTTTGTTGTAATGTTGCTTTGGAGAAAATTAATCAGATAATTTGCTGCAGTCTTTGTAATATACAGGCAACTAATTATTTTTAGTACAAGATCTGATTACATGCATATTTCCTTAGTTATGATATTAAATTTTGGTCTTTCTTAAAAGCACATTTGTATTTACAGAATTGACTCTCTTTGAATAAAAAGTGATTATGCACCATACATCTCACCTTCCACTCACTACATTTTTATTTCCCAATTTCCCAACAGTTACCTAATTCTTCCAAATGAGTCCACTGTTAATAGCTACTGTATGTATGTAAGTGTGACGCAGCAAAAGCTTGAACAAACACTAAAAACTGTAATATTATAATAAATCTATACATCTTGGTGCCATGGTTACAATCCATTGGGATTGTTTCATTGTGATATTTAATATTTATTAAGAATTTAATGCTATTTTACTTGAATACAACTTCATCCAACTTCTGCCTGTGTAATGTCCTCATCATGACATTGACATAGTCTGTCTTTTAGTACCTTTATATGCACACTAGTCTGTAATAAATTTTATCCTGGTTTTATATTTAGGAATTATTGTCTTATATTTATTATTATTTTTATTTTAGGATTATGATCCAAATTGTTCCTATATTACTCACATTTAGCCTACTGTACAAAAAAGCCTTGATTAAATGATCAGTTTATACCAGTTTTAGCCTTGCATTAAGATAACATTCATATTTTCTTAGTACCTTGGTGCCCTGTAGTATTTGAGTGCAGGTGTCAGTGTGGATCTGTTGTGTAAGTAAGGTTTGGACATTATTTCAAAACTACTTGCTCAGCACAGTGGAGGTGTGCTTTACCTGTGAAATGTCTCAAAGCAGCTCTGCTTGAATTCCCCACTTTCTGTCTGATCCTAACCTGAGCTTTTAACTGAAGCTGCTGGCTGCTTTTTGTATATTTAGTGGTCCACTCAGCATTGGTGGCTCGATGCAGTGTGGTCAGTGCTTTTAATGGGGCTCAGTGGGGCCTTTTTTACTGCTGTCATTCCCAGAGAAAACATCTGGATCTTGATCCTGTAGGCTTTATTTCAAATTCAGTTTAGATCATCATTTATCATATGTTTTGTTTAACTAACTGAAGTTGAGGATTCACCTGTGCATTTACAGCCATGGTACTCCGATTATGATCATGTTATTATATGTTTTTATTTGTATAATAGCAAAAGCAATTCAACTTTCTTTTTTCTTTATGATTTATGGAATTCGAACTGCACAACATATTTTTTTTTTCTACTTACTGCGTGATTGTGCTGTTTGCATTGTCTTCTTTGTATAAGACTGTATTGCAGTGTAAAACAAGCCCAAAGTCATTAAAAATGTGACAAAAAAGCTGAGAGAACAGAGACTTAACAATGAAAGTATTGTGTATTGGATGTCAGTGTGACTGACTTAAAAGTGAAAAGGGGGGAAAAAAGCTCCTAAAAACAGCCCTGGACATCACAAAAAACACTGTGAAAAGCTAAACTGGTGCTGGTGAGTGTTTATCACTTACACAGAACATGTGTCACCAAGACACGGGGCCTTTTTATTCATTGCACCAGGCGATTTAAAATGATTATTTCAGTTCTATATGGAGAATGAGGTGAGATTCAGCTGTGAGCGGGGGACAAAAGGTCTTCTCCTACAGATGTTTTATTCAATCCGACATCCTTCTCATGGAAACGCCTGAATGGCAGCACATTATCAAACAGCATTCTTCAGTAATATTTGAAGTAATGCTCCTCTGATGCGTAGAACTTTGTCAAGGTTACAGAACAATGGCTTTTGTTCACTAAGTGTCGTAGCTCAATATCTACCTGCTGCTGTCAATTAACGCTTGCAATAACAAGCATCCTACTGTAGTCGGACCATTAAAGAGGCAACTGAATAAATTCTGTCACTCTACTTTCCTTTCTTCCCCTCACACTGACAGTGCCATTGTATAGTTGCTCAAGTTAGAGAGAAGTTCCTTCCTCTGTTGTTTGAGCTCCATTAAGGTTTTTCTCCCCTTGTCGTCTCTCTGTTCTCTCTCTTAATTTTCACTATTTTCCAGCTATCTCCCCTCTTTCCTGTCTCCCTCTGTCCTTGTCTTTTTCCCCTCTGTCTGTCTGCCTTCCCGTTTGATCCAGATTATCTTACTTTAAGCAATTATAGACTTAATTCCAGACTATCAGAGAAGGAACTGAACACTGCTCTGATGTCTTGTGCGACCAATAAAAACAACTTTGAGTTTCAGTGGAGTTTATCGGCTCTAAACTGTACAGAAACTGTCTTAAATAAAGTTACTGAAGACCTCAGATCTTAGTACAGCTTTAGACACTTCAGACAATTTCATTAGAAAACTGGACTGACTCTGAAATGGTTTCAGTTAATCTCTACTGACAGAAAATGGCAAATGTTTTGTGCGGTGTTCCCCAGGGGTCATTCCCTGGCCCCTGGTTGTTTTGTATTTCTGTTTGTCCCAAACATAAGACACAGACCTGTCTTCTTTTTAAATCTACTGACTATCACAGCTTCTCAGATAAAGTGCAGGATTATTTAACAATCTTGCAGTAAAATGTTGTTCTGGCCTCTGTTTTGATGACCAAGTTAAAATCACAGCACAATGTAGCCTCCAGCTACATATCAGACCTTTTTAATTACTCATGAGCCACTGCGCTGCAGCAGATCCTCGGGGGTTATGGTCTGTTTATGGGCGGATGGAAAAGTGTAACTTACAAATTAGCAGGGTCACCTTGCAGTATGATGCAACTTAAAACGGCAATATTGTACAACAGAGTTCTGTCTGGCAGACTACTGTAATATTCTACATCCACACTAGCAGCTCGGTGAGGTTGTATTTAGGGCTGAATGCTAATGTCAGCACGATGAGATGCTCCCAATGACAATGCTAAAATTACGATGTTTATTGCATTTTAATTTCTGTAATCAAGTTTTGCCTTTTTAAGTGAACTGCTCCATTTTCTCTGTCTCTCTCTCAACAGGCGACTACGTGTTGATGACGGTATACTTTGACCTTAGCAGACGGATGGGCTATTTCACCATCCAGACCTACATCCCCTGTATCCTGACTGTGGTCCTCTCCTGGGTCTCCTTCTGGATCAAGAGTGATGCCACGCCTGCAAGGACAGCTCTAGGTACCCAACAGCACCGCCTGTGGGGAACATTACTTCATTTCAAAAGGGCTTGTATAACTTAATCCTCCTTGGGAGAAGTCATTTGTTGTTGTTTTTTATATATATATATATATATATATATATATATATATATATATATATATATATATATATATATATATATGGCTTTTCTGTTACACCCACCAAATTGGCAGATAACTCCTTTCTTGCCGGTGAATGATCAGCAGAAGGGAATAGTGTCGATGTCCAATATCTTGTCATCCATTTGCTTTAATTGAAGTGATGGGAATACTTTCGCCAGATAATATAAAACTCCCTGCCACGGCTCATTCAAGCTGTAGCTGCGTGAGTCTAATGTGAGAAAAATGAATCGGAAGTCAGTGGCAGGATTTAAAGCCTTTTTGATAATTCCCGTTCAATCTGAGATTTAGACAACTTGATAACAAAAGCAATAATCTCTTTTTTGATTGGTAACTGCAATATTATAACTCGGTCTTTGTTCCAGTAGTTATTACTGGCAAAAGCAATCGCATTACTGAATACTTGCACATCCCTCAACAGTGTTGTGAAGTGAGAGAAGACAACAAATGAAGAAAAAGCAGTTGCGTATCTGTGTCAAACTGTACATCAGCCATTCACAAACGGATATGCATGTAGCTTTAGCTGAACATTGATCCATCTTTGAAATGCATGTCCCATCCGTGTTGCATGTTTTGTTTTCATCCTTTTTTTTCCGTGTTAATCTTATTTTTCTTTGCTTGCTGAGTTGACAATCATTTTGAATTATTTTCCTCAGCCACTGCATGCCTACCATTAGCTCATTTGCTTTCCTGTGGATGATGATGTTGTGCTGATGGTACCTATTTAAGATGGAATTCAAGGTAAGTGTCTGACTAGTTCCACAGAGCGAATATATAGACTGTATATGTCACTGAATTGTTTACATTGTTCATACCCACAAAACTATCATTTACATTTTAGTGGAGATTGGAGAAAAAAATAAAGAAACTTGTGTTTCACTATGAGTTGCCGTAAGATGATACAGAATAAATGTCCCCAGACAGTGTGACATTTTTCTAACACTGGAGCCACTTCAGGGGGAAGAAAGGATGAAAACTGAACTGTATGTTAAGTGATTAAACTCTTGAAGTGCATTTCCGTTTATAGGAAAGTAAAAGTGTAAGATATATGCCAAAAAGGGGCGAAGTGGGTCTCACTTTCAGCTTTCAGGAGTTTAATAATGCATAGTGGCTCACCTCAATCAGGAAAATGTTGCTGGTGAGGCAATAAACCACGGGTCTGACACAGCTCCAAACCAAGAACAACACACAACACTACTCTGAAGAATTAAGTAAAATGTTTCTCATTCATTTTTATATTGCAAATTGGTGAATTATAAAATAACACAATTTTTAACATTTCAGCCTGACTTCCATCCATTTTATTTTCTGATAAAAACCCAAATAATACATTATACCTCCATCTTCCATGGATCAGCCCCATCTACACCATTTGATTATTTGCTATAATCCTAATTAAATTTACTGGCTAATTATTCCATAGCTGGTTTAACTTCATTTAATCTAATCAATTTACATTAGAGTGTAATAGCCAAGATGGACAGCTAATGAGAAACGGAAAATTTGAGAGAGCCTATTCCAAACGAATTGTCTATTAATCATAGCTGCACTGCCCACCTGCATGAAATCTACAGTATTATCTGTTGTTTTAGTTTATTCAACAGCGTTCTGCTCTCCCCAGAACGCTGTTCTCCCCCCCACCACCACCAGAGCAGTTTAGGTGCAGTGCCTTGCCCCTCTGGCACTTCGGTAATACTTGTTGAAGGATGTTTGACTCTAACTAATTAACCTCCACCACCCAAATTTTCTCACTTGACCCAATAACTCAACCCGAGCCGACTTCTCCGACCTCCAGCCGCCTTCACCCCCTCCCCCGATGTCACTCGCATCGAGGCGGCACACACAACTGTGGAGTACTTTAATTCCGCTCAGTCCCTCCTGCCCTTCATCAGCCTGCCAGTCAGCCAATATCACAGAAGGTCATCTGCAACGTCTCTGTGGTAATAAAGAACTTATATTGGAGTTCTGTCCGTCGCTATTCGTTATCAAGCCCAAAGAAAAAAAAAAAAAAACTTCCCAGATAGTTGAACAATAACGTCGTCTCATGTTGTATAGAATTCAATAATAAGCTAGGGTCATTGTTCGAGCACGCGCTGGGCCAAGGTGAGCCTTTTCCTCTTAGTGCTGTTAATGAAAGTTGATCATAATAAGAGATTCTGTTGAAGGTGCATTCTGCTCAGCTTCCCTGTTAGGATGATGAAAGTTGACACTGGTGACAGTCGAACATCAAAACCGTGTGAAGCCGAAGAGATCAAGAGAGACAACAACACAAAGGTTTATTTTCAGAGTGTGTTAAGAAATGTTTGCACATGCTGCTGAAATACTGTGGCTCTCTTGCTCTTTACCAAACGCTGATTACATTTTTTTTTATCCATCAAAAGGCTCATAACTAATAGATTAAGATACATTGTAGAGGTTTTGTTTCATGTTAATTTGGCCGTTCTTACCCATTTCTTCCTAACGCGGCTGTGCTGCTGCTCACAATGACTGAGTGTGCCCGTCTGTCTCTCCAATGCTCTGTCAACCTGTCTGTCTGCCTGGCACCGACGACAACCAAAGGCAGTCGAGGCTTACAGTACGTGGGTGGTGGTGTGATACATTACCAAAGGCAGTGAAAGCCTTGTGATCTCCCTCAGACAACAGGTAGTGCAGAGAAGCAAGCTGTCCCCGTCCTGATAAACATCCACATTCAGCTCAACAATAGAAAGTCATTTAGCCTCTCTTCTCTAGTACATCGCCCCCGTTTTTCAGGTCGGCCTGAAACTTGATCCCGAGGCTGAAAGGGGAGAGGAGAGATAAGAGGAAGAAAGAGAGAGACAAAACAAGAGTGTAAAGCAAAGTGAAGGCCTCTGGCACGCGGCGGCAGGGAGAAATGTCAGAAGGGAGGGAGGAGGATCAGTCAGATCGCTGGGAGGTTGAAGTCCAGGAAAAAGGCAGGTGATGCCGCTGCCCTCACCCCACCCCTCAAGACAGTGTGCCTTGACAAGCTGCTAACATGTTCCAGGTGGTATTTCCAAAGAGCTGTCACTGGCCCACTACTCATTCGTTGGCAGGGCGTTTGGATAGCAGTGCGCTTTGAGTAAGAGACCTGAGCTCAGGTTGATTCCTGTTAGACCTCAATCTCTGCAGCTCTGATCAATCTTGACAGAGATACAGGGTGTTGTTGATGGGAATTAAACCCACCCCAAGGCACAAGCCGAGGAAGCAGAGAGGGTAAAAGAGAACTGTTGTACTGGAGCTGATAGAATATTACATGGTGTCATACAAGTAAATTTATCGAGCTATGCTGATATTTCTGCTTTCCCTGCTTGAGGTTTGTGGCTCGAAGCTATATCAGTCGCTAAAACACTCCAATGTCGATTGTTGGTAGGAAATCGGAAGCGAACAGCGGCCTCCCGTTTTAAAGTCCAACATTTTAGAGCCAGATTGCTACAGCATAGGGCTACTGCATCGTAAACATATGATGGTTCTGGGACATTTACTGAAACGATTTATTCCTGGAAGGACAGTTAGTTATCCACAGTTTTGACCAGATTCATTTTAAACCAAATTAATTGCTCCAATACCCAAACAACACGCTGTTTGGTTAGTATTTATCCATCTTACATATTTGGGCCCTGGCTAGCAGCAAGCACTGGCAACAAAAGAAGCTCTTTTCTCATGATCAGGGTGTTGGGGGGTGTGTGCGTGTAACATTTAAACACCCAAGGTTTCCCTGTGAGAGCTGTCATTCCCACAAATGCTTGTCAATAGTAATATGTCAGCTTGGGTGTAAGAGCTGACAACGTTCCTCACGGGAACTCTACCAAGAAGGCAGCGAGTTAAAGATAGGTGGTAGTACAGACACATCAGCGCCTCAGAATATGCTGCAAGGAGATAGGGGAACTCTAAATCGGAAGCTCTGTTCACCGCAGGGACAAGCTCGCTTTGTGATCGGCTATGTTTTTTCACCTTGAGTGGTTTCTTTCTGACACTTGATCTCATGGTGGTAGTCGCAACTCCTAAGAGAGCCACAAGGTCATGGATGTGTTCAGATGTCTCACACCAGCAATAAGTTCATATATTGTAATTAAGTGCATCAATACAAGGAGGTCTTTGGCTCTTGAAGTTGCTTCATACATCACGGTCTATAGATATCAAGCCAATCGTCAGACAATACATGGTTGAGTAAATAAATTATAGAGTAGACTAGTAGTAGGATTGCAGGCTGTTCCCAAGTGACTCCTTGGTCAGAGGTGACCCTTGTAGGGCCATCCGAGTGATTACATGCACGGGAGATGTGACTTTAAGTCAAGGCCTCTACATTGGGCGCGAAACACCTTTAATCAGATTAGATTGAAGCCGCCATGTGTGGCATTTTAACCTCAATCACTAGCACATTAATTTGAAAACATCAGCATAATTACCACAAACAAACACGCTCTCGCCTAGGAGACTGTCAGCTCACATGTACACTGCGTTTTAGTTTGTGTTGATGTGGTGGAAAATCTGCTGGAGTGCTTCACAGCTCAAAACAGGAACGCCTTCACTTTTGCAAATAATACGCACTTTTATTCCACTTCAGCTATTCTCACTGCATAATTTCAACTTCACATTATCCTACTTTGTCGGAACTTGTATATTCACAGTTATTCTGGGCTGTTGTGATTTCCCCGTCTCTCTTCTTGCACTTAAAAGCAAACATACTGATACAAACAGACAGTAGTGACACTATTTTTATACCAGGGAGCAAATGGATTAATGGAATGTTGTTTTTTTTTTTTTGCTTTTGTTTTTTAAAAAAAGCTTTTTTTTATCAAAGACTAAACCATTTTATACATTTTGTTGTTTATGTGGTGAAGCTAAAAAATATGCATATAT